AATCCTTTCATTGGATAGCAGGCCAGTGGACTTTGATGTATAGGAGATATCTCTTCTAGATCTCTTTGAATCTCTAGTCTCAAAGAGGCAATTTGGTTTTCTCAGATCATGGAATGATATGCATTCATACCCTGGCCACATTTTATGCTCTGTAGTTATGTGATCAAATAAAGTTGCACCTGCTGTTTAATCCAGACATTTTAAGGCCTGTGTCTTCTTTTATCTGTTGTCAGAGCTAATATGCCAGGTGCTATATAAGATAGAACTAAAAGAACAACAGCTATCATAGGAAGCTTACAAGCTGAAAGAAAAGTACACATAGGAAGAAAATCAGTGGGAGATCCAATAATAAATAAATTAAAATCCAATGAACTGAGAAGTTCAGTAGCAGCTGTAGTTCAATATTACTCTCATATTCTGATGGAGAAGGCAGTTAACTGATTGTAAGTCTTGCTGATGAGACCCTTTTTAAGTATGCGAGCAACAAGTCCACTGAGGCTGGGGCCTATTTTATGGATGGATAGCTTATGGAACAACTATAGTTACGAGATGGAAACAGCATGCCTTGTTATTAAGAGCAGAATGAATACATAAAACTTGAGGACCAACAGAGAGGCCTATCTTGGTGCAAAACTTTGCAGGTGAAGAGAATTAAACTGGTAGGTCAGGATCAGAGTACAAATTGAGAGGTTAAAACTGAGATGATAATGTTTGAAGGATGGGTAAAGTGATTATCAAACTAAGGAAAAGCAGAGATATCAGATGGTTTCTGTGCAGTGACTGTTAAAATGTTGACTTAGACCACAAGCAGACAGGAATAGGATAGAAGAGACCATGTGTCCTTTAGCTTGTACACAGACTTTGCTTCCATGATGTAGAACTGGGAAAGTAACATCCTACTGACCTGCAATCCAGTTCCATGTGCAGCCCAGGTGTGGTTCAGAATTGACCTCCAAGAGATTAGTTATATCCCCTTTACCCAAGTTTTACAAGGGGTTAGTTCTGTGACCTTCAGCAGTTTTTTTATTCTGGCTTTACACTGGGCTGTAACCTATTCTTTAGACACAGAAAACTGAGCAGAAGCAGCTAAGGCTCCCTCTGTGCTTGTAACTCAACAGGAACACACCACATGGCTGAGCAGTGGCAGCAATCATCCCTACACACCCTTGGTCAGATTTGGCCCATGCCAATCAGTGCTTCCCTAGGTAATGTCTCCTTAGCAGGTTAAGGAACAGCACAAGCCAGGGTACACTCCTGACAGACATCCAGCCTGTTCTGAGGGCAAAAGCTGTGCCACGTCAGCTTGATCTCGGGTGCTGGCCAATGTAACTTCCTACTGTAGTGTGAACATGTGGCTACATGTAGTAGCCTCAGGGTTGAATGAGCCATCTGGATCTGTCAAGCTGTTTCCAGCTCAGCAACATCTCCTGACATTTCCAAGTGTGAGTCTGGAGAACTTCAGCTGTGAAAGGTTCCTATCAGAGTCTTGACTGTTGCACTGGAATGCATGACAGATCTAACACATTTTTAAAAAGGAAAATGAGATACTAGATGTAAATGACAGTTTGTGCTCTCCTATTTATGCAGATCACAGCATCATTTTACTATACATTCAGCTTTCACAGAAGCAGACATGTCTGCACTTTTAAAGCCTAATATTTTTGTTGCTATTTTGAGCTCTGTTGAGAGTGAAGACTTCTCCCACTGTTTGTTTAGTTTCAGTTTCAGAGGCAGGGTTTTGGTTTCTATTTAGGCCAGTTTATGATGCAGTGGTTTGTGTATTAAGAAGGGTTTTTAACTAGCAATTGTGTCCCTTGTCTCTGGATTGTGTGTTCCATACATTGTTTAAAATATTGTAAGTCATCCTGTTTTAAGCTCATCTTTCTTTGCAATTCATTGCCCATCAAAACATTCCATGCTAAGACTACCATTTTTGTCTATGTCCACTGGTGTAGAATGTTCTACCAGTAGGCCCACCTAGAGCAAAAGGAAAACTGAAATACTGAATAGTGGAGGTGAATGAATTAAAATTAATGCATGCATTTTATGACACTTGGATTTCAGCATGCACGAGAATTCTGCGATAATCTGCCTGACTTCATTACCATGAGACATGAAGGTTGCTGCTGTGCACATGAATAAAGAATATGCTTTGCATTTCTATAGTTAATAATAAAAATGGTAATTTGTAGGAAAAATGTAAACTGAATAAACAAAGCCATGTATGTCTGTTGCTGAAGGAATAATATGACTTTGAAGTACAGTTCAACCCCATACAAAGATTGTCTTTATAATATTTGCAAGAACCATTAAGACTTTAGATTAATTTATGCTTCATAAGTGCAGAATACAAAAATTTAATCTCTTCAAGGGCTGAAGCCTCAACAGTAGCCTTTTGAAAAGATAGTCTAAACAATGAGTTAGTGATGTGAACAGGTATAGTCAGAAAATATAAAGAAATAAGCAGTCTTCATGCTTTGGAACTAAACTATTCGCTAAGAGGTACTTATATCCCTCATGTAGATTCGTAAGCCTAAGGGAATCACAAAGGAATTCTAAGTTCCTTTGAAACATTTGCAGCTGACCCTATTCAAAACCTAACACAGCTTTTTTTCAGGATGAAAATTGTAACTTTTTTGTGTGCTCTCTCTAGACTCTTCTAGACAATAGGCTCACTGACACTAACAAATATATCAAAACTGGATGGCTACAAGTTAAAAATGTTTTCTAATTCTAATTCTACTAGACAATTGAGGCAGAGGGAGGTTAAATGAATTGTCCAAATTTGCACAGGAATTATTCTGGCAAAGTCAGTATCTTATTCATGTCATGATTGCCTGAACTTTCACTTTGATTTTGAAAAGAAAATCTATTTTCTTCTTTTTTTCTCAAAAGCACTAAACCCACAAACAGTCTCATTTGGCCTACCCCTAATATTTTAGTCTAGTTTTGTTCAGAGCTTGAGAGAATACTGCTGTCTTCTTGAAAGGGAGAAATAATGTTATGCATTTTATTTTATTTGGATTGTTCTAGAAGTGTTTCTAAATGTATGTACATGATATAACTCTGGGATAAATTAATACCTTTTCTTTCCAAAATTCAAAACTAGTGTTTCAATGTAAAGCTTCTTTACTATGAGGTTAACAGTGAGATCTCCTAGTTACTTACACGAATGTAAAGGATCCTTCAGAATATTTTTGCTATAACTTTCATTTGATTTGTTACTCCTGTGCAGCTAAATTAGAAGACAGGCATATGAGTTATACAATATAGACAGATCATGTGACCAAAGTCTCCATGGAAACTGCCTAATTTGTGCTTTTATTTAATTAGAGTTGTCCATTACCTCTCCAAATTAAATTTCATTTAAATTCATGTGCCAGTCATTTTTTAAATTGTGTATGACTTCTTATCCATCACTTAATGAGATCTCTAGTAGGCTGTATTTCAGCAGAGTGAGTTTATTTAACAATTGAGTTTATAAACAAGATGTTTATTTGACAGATCAGCTTCTCCAACAATCAACATCCTCAGGACCGATTTTCTATGCAATATCTGTGCTATACTTACCCATTGTTATTAATTCCATATTATTAACCTCACAAATTGTCAAAACCAGGAACAATTGTTAGAGAGTATCCATAAGTTCATTCACTCATTTTGCTTGCTGTGAGATAACTGGGAAAAATCATAGTACGACGAAAAAGTGCAACCAAGACCAAGAAATATACAAAATGCATATCTTTGTTAAATGGAGCATTGAAGCATGTGGAACATGTTGTGTTGTTTCTGTGTGCTGTTGGAAGCTGAACCACAAAAACCAGCTTCTCTGACACAGGGGCTGAGGTGCTCTTAAGAAAAGTCTGAGCTGGTTCAAACTTATGGGAATGTCTACCTGAGGATATGAGGAACATCAACTGGTGTGAATTATTTAGAAGACATCAGTCCTCAGTCACACACTACAGAAACGTGGTTTGCAATACCTGATTTTGTCTTTCTCTAAAGAATTGCTGGTTGAACTTATAGTGAGAGTGGAATACTCCATTCTCTCACTGTTCTTTTGGGGTGTTTGTGCTTCTAACACATGCAGATGGTAAGAAGGAGTACAGTGGAAGGCTGTATATACGCAAACAATTTCCACTCAGCTGAGACACCAGCAAATATAAATAACAGGGAAAAAACAGTTTTTAAAAAATGTGTAATGTATTTACATGGAACACATCACTGTGATACTTTGTATGCTAATCTGTGTATTCTCAAACCAATCTTTTGCCTTAAGGAAGTGGAATTTACCCGATTTTCCATATGCAGCTCTGTGTTAGAAATACAAATTAATTTGTATGCCAGCACAGCAAGAGCACAATGCAGAGGCAACAAACTGCAATTCTGAAAGGAGTATAGGCAGGGTAGCTGAGAGCTGCACTCAGGCCATTCAGCAGGTTTCTGCCTGCTTCACTGCATTCATACGGCACAGACATATCATCTGAGTTTAAGCACTTTCCAGAATTACAGAATTTGTCTCTGGCACAAAAGTAAATGTTATTGGTAGGAGAAAGTCACCATCACAGCATTATCAGAATTCAGAATGGCAGAACTGAAATGGTTGTGGCTAAAAGATAAAGAAAGTGGCCTGAGAATCATGAGTGTCATTATCATCATCAGAGGCTGGAGGTGCTAAAAGTACAACTGGAGAGCAGACAATAATGATTCTTCCTGGAATAAATATGTGAAGGCAAAAGGCAGTAAAATTCAATGTGCCTAAGCAAAGCTGAAATGAACAATGTAAAAAGTGCTTTGAAAAAAAAAAAGGTATTTCTGAACATTATAATGCTGGTAACGCTGGTGATGTGCAAAAATCTCGCATTTTTTTTTTTTTTAAAAAAGGACACTAGGACAATGGGCAAAAAGGAGTAGATACTTCAGATAATACAAAAACTTTTGGGTATACAAAAATATCAGAGTTATTAAATAGCAACTTTGTTTCTGTCTTTTCAGAAGAAGAGGGTGGCGATCTGCTCAAGTCGGGCTTCAGTTTTCCAGGGACGCCAGAGGAGGAGCTAGGTACAGATATCATCTCTCAGATAACGTGCACTGACTGCTCGTCCATCCGGCGGCTGGGCGCAGCCATGGGGGTGAGGAGGCAGGAGGCTGCTCGGTGGTGCAGCCTTTCCCCAGCCCCAAAGCCCCCACAGGGTGGTGTTAATGAGAGCGGCCAAACAACTGCTCAGTCCAACCCTCCCCTGCTATAAAAGATTAGAGAATCAAAAGAAAAAAACATCAGATTTGGGTAATATCCACGCAACCAAGAATTCAACAGAAGGCGTTCAAGGAAATTATCAGCTTTCCTTTTTTTCTCTTTTTACTTTTGTCTTACCCCTTAGAGAATATAACAATTGCAGAAAGAGTATTCAATGTTACCTTTTAAATTTAAAACAAATAACAGACACAGGAATAAGAAACTCATAGAGCTGATGAGTGAAATCCTGATACCTGTCTCTCAATGCTAGCAGTAAAAGTCCCATTGGCTTCAGCATAGATAGATTTTAGACCTTTTAGACTGTGCAAAATTGAGTTTCTGTTCCTGGAATTTCATCTTCAGATTGTCAGTGTTTTATGAGAAATCTATCAAAATTTTGATTTATATGCAATTACTTTATGTGGTTATTTTTGGAGGAGAAATGCGGGAAGTGATTTCTGTTTGTTTGCTAGTTAGAGCTCCCCTGTGAGCATACTTACATTTCAGAAGTTAGGGTAACAGTATTTTTTCTCCTTCTATGCATATGCTCGTGTTAATACATTGCAACGCTTTATTTTGTGTTACTAGGATATTTTTATATTTGATAAAGCCTCACCCTGACCTTATTGTTGCACATTGATAGGAAGATAAATTATAGTTGCTGTATTAAGAAAAACAAACAAACAAACAAACAGTTTGAACAGGGAGCATGGATACAGGCAGGAGATGTCACTAAAATTAAATAATCTCTTAGAAGAGGATTTTCTGAAGCAGGTAGTTTTGCCACTCAGTTACATTCAAGTCAGGGAATTCCATAAATGTTCCATTTAAAAATATGTTTGTTGGACTTATTTGTCCACTTTATATTAATAAATAAGTGTGGAAAAAAAGCTATGGGATAAGTTGCAAAGACTGGCTAGAAGGAAGTGTTAAGGAAGAGACTGAATGACCTTTAGGCAGCTTCTGCCTTGATTAAACTAGTGTAAGAGGGAAGATATGATTAAACGTGAGGCTCACTAGGAATCTTACAAGTGAATCCCATGGAAGAGTTATGGAATGAGCACATCTCTCAGCCTTCTTGGACAGTTGGTTTTTTTTCACCCTGCTGCCCCATTTCACAGCATGCAGGGAAGAGTTCAGGTGCCCCAGAGAAGAATTCATCTCATCTAACAGTTGGAAAGTAATTCAGATGTGCATGTCTAAACTGTAGATATCTTGACTTCCTCTAGATTCAATGAAGAGTGATAGACTTTTCTAGGACATAACAGATTTGGCCTACTTTAGAAACTTAACATAGGGTTAGATGAATCATGCCCTAGAAGTATGTAAAAATTGTTCGTCCTATTTGGTTGAGAAAGAACTGCAGGATTTCTGAAGCCAGAATACCTGATGTATAAATCAGTAGTATTAAATGTCAGGTGTTTACAAAAGAAGGGAGCCTCATATGAAATAGATAATCAAAGATTAACAAAAAAATATGCACTAAACTGGTTGATCATCCAGCACCCTGATTAGGAAGAAGATGGGGAAATAGTCAACAAAAATGAGGATTGTGAAAGAAAAAAAAAAAAAAAAAAAAGCAAAAACCAATAAATTCACAACCAGACCACAAAGAAACTATGTTGCTTTCATAAACTTCAGCAGTTTATGGCCAGAGTCCTCTGAAAATAAACACCAAAAATCGCTAGGTGATGAAGGGAGGCAGATGAATTTCGTATTTTCAGAAGGAAATCCTGTCCTCCTGACTTAGTGACCAGGATGTCAATGGCCAAAATAGGTGGATGCCATCAGTAATGTAAAAACATATGATGATATGATGTCCTAGTCTCCCTTAGAGAGAATCACTGTAATCCAAGAAGGAGCATGCTATGGGAGATAGAAGCTGGGAAGACTTTTATGAAAGTTTTGGGATAGTCAGTGAAATTCAGTGTAGACAAGCTCTACACTGTTAGAGCTGTGCCAGGGATTAACTCCTCGACAGGCAGCTGGGATGCTGTCTCTCTCTCTGTCTGTCCCCCAGTGTTGTGTTCTGTTACTTGAAGATTTGAACTCAAATCCATGAACTGAACATAGTGAAAAAAGCTGCAGGCTATTAGATCTTTCTCAGTCTCCACTTTTGTTGTTGAACATGCATAAAGTTAAATACTCATTGGAGAGAAATCTGAACCTGGGTGGATACTCTGGTAACTGGGCTATGGAAATGGGCTTGCTCTCTTGCCACCTCTATGACTGTGAATTATTTTGTATGAGCAGCCTCAGTCTGAAGGATTGCTGCAGACATTCATTCCAGAAAAAAACACAGAAAGGTCTTTTCCTGAGAAGTAAAATAATTGCCCCAAGCCAAGGCAGAGCAGTGCTTGTATTCTTTAAGGTAGCTCCAACTGCAGGGCCATTCATTATTGTAGAGTCTCACTGTCCCAAGGAGCTTCAAGTGACGATCTCTCTGGTACTGAAGAATCTCTGGCTCCAGGCCTTTATTTGTAAAATGGGTTTAATATTTCCTAGTGAGGTTTCAAGGCTTTGGTGGGGATTAATTAATGTTTGCACAGTATCTCACCAGAGTGAAAATGCTGAATAGTCACTAAATAATTTTATTAATACAATAATCCACAGCCTTAATTGGGAAAAGGTATCAAGGGATGGGACTGATCTCAGCTCTTTTACATTATTGATTTTATGAAAGACCTCATTAGTTAAAACAGACAGAAATGCAATGGAGTCCTTTAAAAAAAGCTTACCCAAGCATTCATAGCCTCTTCTTCAGAACAATATTTCATAGCTTTTCTGTTACCATTTATTTGTTAACAGAGTTCAGGGTGATAAGTATTGTCATGGTTACAAGATTCACACTCACATCAAAAATTTCTGTTCTTTTCACTAGGAATATCTCAAACAAGCAACCTGTTAAAGGTAGCAGGGCATGGTGGTAGGAGCAAGAGATCTGACATGCGTGATCTCAAGCAGCTCGAGTCTTATGGAAAGTGGGGTTCTACCAATTCAAAGCTTTATTCTAGCTGGTGGTATAAAATCTGAACAATGTTAATATATTAAATAATAAACATTTTACAAAACTACTCTTTTCTAACCAAACTGGAAACTTACAGTCTTATTTACCTTAGGCATGTAGAGGGTAAAACAACTATTTGCTTTGTGTGTCAAAACCAAATAATGCAATCTTAACAAGAAACATGGAAAATGTGCCATGTTTAAATGGCATTCAAATAGTTGAAGAAAGGTGAACAAGGAAGATAGGATGAACTTTTCTTTATGGATTTTCATAGGTAGTACATACGCAGAGTAAACAGGGAAAAGTAGATTATTAGAAAAATTATTTTAACTCCTTTTTATAAGTAAGAAAGACATTTATTTTACATAAGTTTAACACTTTGCAGCTTCTAATATGACGCAAAGAAAGAGAACTCACACTAAAGGCTTTTTGTTTCAGTAAGTTACTGTTTTCTTTTCAGGAAAGAATATTGAGCTGATGTTAAGAAAAAGATTAAAACCTATAAAACAGGTTGCAGTTACTAATAATGTTCTTAACTGGCCACAACTGGAAAGTAAGCTACAAGGGAGTGTAAGGATTTGTTAAAAAAAATGTGGGTTTATTTCACAGTTGATGCAGTCGTGCTTTTGATTAATTGGTACAGTTCAAGTGTCAGACAGCAATTCATGGTTATTCAATCACTGCTGATTGCATGATTGTGCCTTTATGACCTTATGTGTTGAAATGAAGAAAGGATATAGCCGTTCTTGAAATAAAAAAATAAATAGAGGCCTGACTTCCCAGTCTGTCTGCCTTCCTACCTAATTATCCAGCCTTCCTCAGTGCAGTCAGTGTCTGAACACTTTGCACTTTTCATGGGTTTTAGCTTCATATAACAGGCATGACAGGATTTCCCAAGGACAGACAAGCAGTTTGCAGTGGGATGATTTGCTCTCCTCTGTGCCAGATCCATGCCTCTGTCCACCTTCCCCCTGACTTAATCAGCTGTAGACTTGACTGGAGCAGGTGGGACTTCAGTCAGACACAGGGCTTGGCACACAGAATAAACTGCTACAGCAATGGTCATCCCTGTAATTAGCAGGCATAGGAACAAATACTTTATTTTCAATTCTTAAATGGACATTATCCCAGAGACTGAGTGTTTCCTAGCTTTCTGACACTAACCCTTAGAGGTACAGAAGTTTCTTTTATTCTTGCACTATGTGGAACTGAGTTAGGGACACTACAAGAGATATCCACAAAGATTAAGTCTAACCCAAGGTCAAGCCTCTCAGTGGCCACTGTCATCCATCTCCATGGCCTTATCCTGGACCATGTAAAAAAATGATGGCAAGACAGGAAATCTTGGTTGTGGGTTTCCCAAGTTAATCTTCTAACCACAGGACTATCTTTCTGCCATATAATAAAAATACATAGACAGATGGTTTGATATGGAGATATAAAAGTCTTTTAAACTTACAAGATGTTTTAAATATAAGATGCCCCAGTATGTCTCTCCCATCATACCTCTGAATAATCCCACTTCAAATCTTTCCTTTTGCTGTACCCAGAAACTGTAGCCTAGAAGTTTTCTGATGTGATGATCAAGACCACAGAAAATGTTAATGAAATAACGGGGAATGTTTTTCAGAAAATAAATTTTGAATTTTAAATTTCTTTTAGTTATGCTTGAGAGCTTATTCTGTGAGTTACTTTCAGTCATAGTACAAAATCATATCATATGGCCTGAGCATCATAGAAAGACTTGCTAACTATTCTGCATTCAAATTACAGGCTGTTGGCAACAAATGCTTACTAACAATCTGCAGACCTGAAGCT